CGGTCACAAAATGCGGTGCTAACATGTTTGCACTCAATGCAATAGTTAACTTATTTGATACGAAAAAACTGAATAAACAAAGAGCACTGGTCGCTCACTTACCAAATCTGTAGAGACAGGACAATCACCAGCAACTAGAGCCGCGTCTTTATGAAGAGAAGACTACATCCGGAATCCGGATTTCAGCGTTTGCAGATGAGAACAGCTCTCAGGTAAACAATAATCCCCCTTAGACACGTAAATTATTGTTGTCGAGCGTCGCGTACACTGTAATCCACACTTGATCCAGATGAGCTCTCACAGAGAGAAAATGAAAACGAAACTTAATGGCAGCAAACTATAAAAGCAACACTTCACGCTTGTTTTGCCAACACAACGTGGCGTCTCTGTGGTGTAAAGACGGTGACACTAATGAATATTAATGAAGTTGCACAATAGAGCGCGCTGATTGGTTTGAACCAAGCCTTACTCATGCATTAATGCATCACACTGTAAGACGTAATAAGGCACACTCTGGCACAGACGCCCAGTCTGCACGCTGGAATACAACGCTATTATGTCATGACCGTGACGCAGCTTCAAAAATTCGTTTCAAACAGGAAGTACGAATTTGCTTGAAATAACGCAAAAACAACCAATTTACACTTTTTAGTGAAATATAGGTGTCCTAATAGTGTTTTTAGCAGTGTGGGACACATATATGACTGTCAACAGCTCAAAAAATGTGTTTTGGTGTTTCGTGACCCTTTAAATGCTAAAACGGCTTGCCATACGCTTTCACCCAGTAGCACAGTGGAGAGTTCTCTAGTTATATCCTTTCAGTCGTTTGTTATGCAGTGACATGCAGACAAATATTTCGCCAAACAGTCCTTAGGGATGCGGTGACACGCAGTCAGATATTTTACCGGACAGATCCGCCACTTTAGGCGCGCATAAACAATCATAAAGCTCTCGTGCTGCAGGAATGAGGAGGTCTGCTGAAGGCGCGCAGCTGACGTGCAGTGAGAGGTTTGCGTCTTTAATAAACTACGGCAGTTTGCGATCACTGAACAGTAAGAATGATTAATAAATCCATATGAAACAGTCCCTTAAAAGTCACGTCTTGCTTTCAGTTTCGGGCTTTGGCGCGATTTGCACTGAGCGTGTCTCTCTCTCTCTCTCTCTCTCTCTCTCTCTCTCTCTCACTCACTCACGCGGGCATGCACTGTGGTCTCACGAGGAGACGCTGCTTTTTGATATAGTGTTTTTCTTGCTCCCGAATACAAATAATTTTTCAAGTATTTGTTCGAATCAAGTATTCGTAAAAACACGCTATTCGTGCCTTCGGGTTCGGCTCCACCCTTAATATATATATATATATATATATATATATATATATATATATATATATATATATATATATATATATATTGTTTTATTTATATCTATTTATTTATTTTAGATAAGTTCCTGTTTTTGCTATGGTAATGATTAATCTAATGTATATGCACAAGTATATTATTGTAAAGCATACTGTAGAAAATATCATTTTAAAAGAGGAGTCTGTATCTGAATATCTGTGAGGGTATATAGGTGCATATTGATTCATATATATAAAATCGTTAATTATATCGAGTTCTAATCATTTGTATTGTTTTCAACTTTTCTATGTTTTCTGTTTGTAATATTTTTAATGTAGTTTTAGGGGTGTACGGATCACAACCCTGCGGATTAATAACTTTTTTAAAAACAGGTTTTAAACAATTACAGAGAGATCGACTCCCACGTTATTCAAATCACGTGTATGAAAGCATTTTTGCTTCCCTGTAAGATATAATGATGATGGAAAAAGTTGGTGTGGAACCTGCCTAAATACTTTCTTAAGTTATTAATTAAAGGTGTTTTCTGTCACTGTTTGTTTAGCCTAATGCATTCAGTGTAAAGCTGCACACTTAAACTTTAAAAGATTGTGATCTCACATCAAACGGACAAAAAATGAATGAAAATTAAATTTGCATATGTTTATTAATCCTTCGAAGAGCAGCATTCATATCTGTGTTTAATCGAGAGAGATTCAGTTTTTACACTTTTGCAGTTAGTTACAAACACAGATACTGGGAGAACAGTTAATAGTTCAGATATAAACACTAATGTTTATGGTAAAGATTAAAATCACAGTGTAATGGAACTTTACGCTTATGAATGTTGTAGCAATTACATTGTTTAACCACTGGGTGGCGACTAATAACCATCAAATATGACACTGAATAGGTTTTCAAAAATGATCCACCTACAATGAAACAAAGTTTTATGTGTGAATTGGTAAATCTTTAATTTAAAATAAATATTATATGTTGTACAAGATGTTAGATTTCTATATTTGGCGTTATCAGCAACAGTAGCAAAGATCATTTTTCGTATTGAATATTTTTCTTTTTTTCAGCTGGTTCTTCCCTGATTTTTATTTTTATTAAAAATACAGGTTCTGAGTTCTGTTTATGAAAACCAGTGGTTTTTGCAGTAATGTTTCGTATGAATGGAAAGCAAATGGCATTTGAGTCTCCCTTTTTTGCTGATCTAAAAAATGGTTCGATCCTTGACTCAAAAACTGTAGTGTGATCTAAACCGTGAGATTTGTGATGCGTTCACCTCTAGTAGTTTTAAAAGTTGTCCCTTTTTTGGTAAAGTATAATTTGTGTGATAATTAATGCATGATTTTCAGTAATCCTGCAGATTTTCTCCTCAAGAATCATTTGTTAATGATTTATTACTTATTTGTGTGGAAAACATATGTTGGGCTGCTCCTGACCAAATATTTTTCCATGTTTGTGTTATAACATTCATTTGCTATCCTGTTACTTGTTCTGTAAACAAAGCTTTTTAACTTGTATTCAGCTAAATCTAAATATAAAAAAGTAGTATTCTGGTCAGGAACTTTTATTAATATTATTAATAAGTTAATTTATATAATCTGTTATAGATCATCTGTGCATCAATGACTATATGTAATTACTCTTATTTATATTTTTTAATTAAATTATTTACACGGGGCTTCAGTGTTAAGGCTTTTGGGAGGGCGTGGCTAAAGTTGAGGCCCAATCATCATAGCAGCATCAGCCAATGAAATTAGTTCGCAATTAGCTACTGCGTGAGCCTGAGTATTTGCATAAAGCGATCTGATTTGCTGGCGCTGTTGGTGCTTGAAATGTTAATAAATTCCAAACTTTTGCGTAGACTGATCCACAATTCAGTTTGGCAACCCTTGACATCACCCATTCAAGGTGAATGGGAAGTGTTGAATCGGGCATTAGAGGGCAACGTTAGTTTTATATTAACGTTAGATTTTATTTTATTACTATCTTTTTTTAATTAAACAAACAGCATTTCTCTTAAATGTCACCACTTTCACTTTTGATCAATTGAATGCCTCCCCAAAGAATGATTATTCTGGGTATTTTAGTCTGGTAAAATATTAAAATGTTAATAATAAACTTTCTTTTCAGCATTTACAAATTTAGCTTAATTAATTCACATTCCTTTTAAGTGTTTTGAGCCGCCAAATGATTAATGTCCTTCCTGTCGTGTTGTCTTTGTATACAGTCTCTAAAATAAGTTTGTTTTCCCAGGTATCCCACGTTCATTGATGCTCTCCGAGATGTGGACGATGCCCTTTCTATGTGTTTTCTGTTCTCTACATTCGCTCGTACTGGAAAATGCCACGTCCAGACAATTCAGCTGTGTCGGAGACTCAGTGTTGAGTGGATGAACTACATCATCTCCTCACGCTCCCTAAGAAAGGTACATTTAAATGGTTTGAATTATAATAATTGTTTTTAAATGGTCAGTCTCTTTAATCTTCATCTGGAGAGCCAGCTGTTGGAGTGTTTCAGTCACTTCAGGCTTTTTGCACTGGTGTGCTTTCAGTTTAAAAATGTTACTTTAGAATAAAAATCCTCAAGTAGAGTAAAAGCTCCCTGTTTAGGCTGGTGTTTTTACTACATTTGAGAATCTCAGGATTCAAGCTCATTGAGTGTCTGCATATTTTACCAGCATTCATTCTTGCCATCTACTGTACTAATCAGGGAATGATATACAGCTTATGGTCATACCACTGTTACCGTGCCTGATCTTGTCTGATTTTAGAAGATGAATATACACAGGACATCCAGCGGCTATTGTTTTTTTAGTCGGTCTACCAAAATCTATCTACACCGTGCCCACCGGGCTACCTATGAGCAGCACCAGACAATGTTGTAGATTAATTTTGGTAGCCTGGCTGAAAAAAACAATAGACGGGATGTTGGGCCACCAAATTTTGCGAGCCCTGCCCTGACACGATAGTCCAGAAGATATGTCAGAGGGCATTTCTGGATAGCGTTTACAAACTAAAAATGAGTCTTCATCATTTTCAAGAAGCTCCATTTTCATAGATTGAAGAAAAGAAATCAAAACTGAAAAATCCTGATACTGGATTTTTGGTACCAATCGATACTAACATTTTAAAAACGCCCATTTCCTGCTAACATTTAAACGCTGTTGAAAGCGTTCAACAGAAATGACTTATTGGCCCTGAAGGTCATCAGTTCTGTGTGATATGCGAACTGTACTGAGTGTAAGCACAGGTATAGGGACACTGGAGCGTTTCAAAGTTCCGTCAATCAGCTGATTTGTCTGTAAGCTGACATTCGAGTGGTCCGCTGATAATTCTTTAGGTTTTTAACGGCTTTAAGAACATGGTCAACAGTGCTCAAATGTTGGAAATTTACATTTTTAAAACTTGTTTCGTTTAGTACCAAATTCCTAAATGTTTTAGATGATTAGGGTTGTCAAAATTCTGAAAGTAAAGCAGCGTTTCTATCCATTGAATCAAAGACAACAAAATCATTATCACTTTCTGATAAACTGGGGCCAAATATAAAAACTGAGGTAAAAGAAGCCACTTTGGGCCTTTTTTCTTGCATAATAAATTAATCTAAATTTCTCAAAAGATGAATTGTAGTTAATGCACATTTGCTTTTGGAGGCATGACATGTTCTTTGGGAGCACAGACAATCAAGACAGTTCTGGAAGTTATAATACTGAAGCATTTTGATCACCGACTTTGGCTAAGGGATTTTAGACTAAATAAAAAAACAATATTTCAGATTTTTTACAATGTGGTCGGCTCGCTGGTTTATCTGTTAAATCAAAATCACATACGTTATTTGATGTGCATGTTTGAATTTATTCGGCATTTTTGTTTGTTGGATTTTTTTGCAGTGTTCCAAAACGCACATAAAAATATATGGATGGAAACATAGCTAGTGAAAACCGTAAATGGGGTTTGTTAGATAATGAAGTAAATTACCACCACCCTTATTGCTCATTCACTGTGAAGGATCTGGGTTTTATTGTGGACGGTAGCCTAAAGCTAAATAAACAAATCAATTCTGTCGTTAGTTCCAGTTTTTTTTTTTGGACCTTCGAAGACTAAAAACCCTCTCTAGGCAGAATTAGTTTTGAGATTGTAATTCATTCTTTTATACAGTAGTCAATGTGATTTAAAACAAATTTGTCCTAAAACTTTTAGAGGTCCAGTGAAATTAAAATAATATTTTTCAGATGTTAGAATCAGTAATGTTTTTAGGATATCTATAACTTCACGGGACCTTTAATCAACACCTATTTTTGTCTGAAGAACAATAAAAAATTTGATCCACCTCAAATATTGACTACTATGTCATGACAGATTGATTGCTACAATTTGTTGTGTTGTGAGCTGCCTCATAATCTGATCATAGCCTCAGACTTCAGCTGGTGACATTTGCTGGTCATATTAGAGTGCCAGAGGGATAAAATCGTTCGAGAAATTCAGCAACGATTCTGAGATTTTTAAAATGCATCGCCTTGAATAGATTCTGAGCTCAGCTTTAGCAGCAGATGGTGTGTTTTAACCTTTTTCTATCACCTTTGATTGATACTGTTTTCTTTTTTTGTAGGTTTTTCTTTCCATTAAGGGTATTTACTATCAGGCAGAGGTTTTGGGACAGACCATCACATGGATCGTACCATATCAGTTTGCCCATAATGTAAGTATAACATATTTTTGAAAACATTTTTGTGGATTCTTCAGTATTCATTCAGTCAATGACCTAAGGGTCAGACTTTCGTTCACCGTTTATCAACGAAACCTGGAAAACTGAGAAGGTAAATATGGTCATTTTTCCACAGGAGTAGCTGAAAATTGATGCTGCTTTGTAGCATTCCAAGAATACAGGCTATTATTCTGTTATTAGTACTTGCTTGGGTGGCTCAGGTTTTGTGTATTTCTGTCTTTTTATATATTTACATATTCACTATCATGTTGAGGACATGTTCTCTTTCTGTGGATTGTTTAGGTACCAGTTATGGGAAAAGCTCAATAAAAAATAAATTAAACCAAACAATACACACCCTACACATCTGCTGTTAACTAACTCATGGTAACATGTACAGCACCTCTAATGACTATTGTTATTTAATCACTGGTCATGGATCATTATCAATATTTCAGATGCTGTTGTCCTTCTGCAGATTATTTTATGATGACTATTACATTGAACGTACTCATCGTGTTCCTGTTTCTTCTTCTCAGCATCCTACAGATGTGGACTACAGAGTTATGGCCACATTCACAGAGCTCTACACAACACTGCTCGGCTTCGTTAACTTCCGCCTTTATCAGACTCTCAACCTTGTCTACCCGCCCAAGGTATCGCTCACGAAATGTGTGAATGTGTTTCCATTTTATGGGGTCATAAACTGAAAAATCAAAATTCACTTGATCATTCGACATATGAGAGATTTTAGTACTATTTAAACATCCTGTAAGTTTCAGACCTCAAAACGATCTCAATTGTCTAAAAACAGCTCATAATAAAGCAAATCTCCCTAAAAATGACAGCTTGAGGATTGTTGCACTTTGTTATATAAGTTAGTCTAAAGTATGCCTCAACAGAAGAATAATCAAAATTATTTAGCAAATATGACTGAGCAATGCTGCGATTGTCCTGCACATCTTATCAGGGAAGCACAGTTCTGTGACAAGTAGTAAGTCTCCATATGAATGCTTAAGGAAGCTCTCCATTAAATCCCCATAGATTTGCATTATAAACAGACTGTTTAACTGATTTCATTGATTAAATGTGACTAATGAAACAAGACTGGAATCATCTCATAGACGTATTTATAACTAAAGTTATGAACTGTGCATTCATTGTGTTATTTCCACATGCTTTCAGATGTTGCAGCATTGGCTACACTAACCCGTAGTTTACTGGAAAGCCATGCAACAGCTGTTATCATTAGAGAACAAGTATATCAATATTGTCTGATTAAGTTAAATTAGATCTTGAACACAATTTTGCGAAGCTTTTCAGTGAACTACGGCTCAGTTTATTTAATACTAGTTTACTAGAGCTGGTTTTACTGACAAATTGCGCATGAAAATTGCCTTTGATTAATCACCCAAGCCATCGATGCATGCATTGTCTGTTTAGCTCAGCCCACTGATTTAAACTGTAGTCTTGAAAAGAGAGGGTTAAACAGAGATCTATCCAGGAATCAAAATAATAAAGACAACGAAACAAGTCATTGTGTAATGCAAGTTGTGGTAAAAACAGTCATTACATTGTCTTCTGATACCAACATTAGGAAAGAGTAGAGAACATTTATTTTTATTTAAGTACCAGGCATTTTACAGTAGATTCATTTCAAAACAAACAACAATTTACTGCTGGATGTGCTGAAAGGTTAAGCTAAAAAGGCCATGCTGTGCCATGTATGTTGCATCCAACATTTAAAGGTAAGGGCGTAGGTTTGCACTTGACATTCGTGGGGATGGACGAATCAACCTTGAGTATATGTATATGTATATACATAATATAGCCAAGACGAGTTCTTTTTGGATTATTATTATTATTGATTTTTTTTCCTAATATTTAAATGTCCAAATTCTGACGAGAAAATCTTAATGTACTGACCAGTTTGTTATTTGCCTGTAGGCTTCAGTGCTTAATTTAAAACTAATTTTAACAGATTTTTAAAACTATGTAATGATAGAGAATAAATTTTTATTTTAAAAATAAGAAAATAAGAATCTTTTCATATTTTTTATTCAAAATTGTCATTATTTATAAAGCTTACAGTTTAAATGCACAGTTGTAAATAAACACTTAGTATAGTAAAATACTAGGGTAAGCAATTTGACAAAATGGTTGGAAATATTTTTTGTATATCAAAAAGTGTGGTTATGATAACCATCCCACAAGATACTCTAGCAAAAATTTGTTTTTAATATGTCACCAAAATAAATAAGCAGTAGTCATATCTCATAATTAAATAGAATCAGGCAAATAACTGTAAAAAAGGTTAAATTTTCCAGAAAACAAATAGCCACTCTTTTATTAAGCTGCTAAAGGCGTGACAGTGTAATGTTAGAATAATGTTTAATAACTGATAAAGAGAGAGTTTAATAAAGAATTCAGTTTATTTTAGCCATAGTGCAAGTATAATATGTCTAATAAATATAATAAGAACTGACGGGAATCATACTTTAGCTGTTCATTCTGCAGTTAGTTTTCAGAACATATTATTTACAGACTAGCCTATATCAACCTGCTATAACATCAGACTGTGACTCACACTTTTGTTAAAAAAAAGCTCCTTATGTCCACCTTTAGCTGCTGTCATGCTTACCTGTGAGTGTCACCCAACCGCACACAACACACATTATTCTTGCATGGGGAAAAAAACTATCCACTGCATTTGGCGCTGCTTATCTGAACGCAGCCACAGCCTCTCGCATGATAGCAGGGAAAGGCACATCCAATTTAAAATGTCCATGTTTGTTTTGGGGGCGGGAGGTCTCAAGGAGAGAACATGATTGAACCCTTTCTGTGTGCCTAGGTCAGTGTTGACAGCACGATTTATTTATTTATTTTTTAAAGTGGATTAAATTATTGGTGGAAACATTTAAATGGTCGGTGGATATTGATGTGGACGCGTCCCTTCCGTCCACCTTAAATCTACGCCCCGTTTAAGGAATAGTTCACCCAAAAATGAAAGTACTAAGTATTTTCTTTCCCTCTCGTGGTTCCAAGCATTTATAAGTTTCCTTTTTCCTGTTGAACACTAAAGAAGATATTTTAAAGATAGCCTAAAATGTGCAACCATTGACTTCCATAGTAGAAAAAAACAAATATGATGGAAGTCAATACCTAATGGTTTCCAGCTTTCTTCAAAATATCGTCTATTGTAGTCGACAGATGAAATTAAATCGAACAGGTTTGGAACAGAAGTTACTCAGAAGTAAAGGCTGAGTAAATGATGACAGAAGTTTCATTTTTGGGTGAACAATCCCTTTAATGTTACAGTAACTGTTGTTTTTATAGATCATATGATATGTTAGCAGGTTTAAATTATGACTATTAAACAGCCTATTACTTCTGCATCAAGATGCTTTTTTAATCCCTAAAAGCATTATAAGTAGGCCTCAGAGAACACTACAAAATAAACCAAAAAAAATCAAACTAGGAACTGAATTTCTTCTTTTATTCCCTGTTGTGTGTCAGCTTGATGGACAAGGAGAGATCAGTCTCAAAGCAGAGTTTGAAGAAGATTACGCCCTGGAATCTGAAAGCTACACTGAGGTAAAGGTTGATTTCTTTTCAATAACCCATGTCAGATGTAACTGTGTAGTGAATGACATGTCTATTTGCATGTGTTTGCAGAAACTGTCAGCATTGAGTGCCAGTCTGGCTCGTATGGTGGCGTCAGTGGAGGAGGAGGAGGCAGAGCTGGACCACTTCCCTACTGAAGGGGTGAGCGAGCAAGTGACTGACAACTGTGTTTATCATCAACACCCACACTGATTCACTAAAATTCACCTGTGGGAAAATTGGCATTGGCTGATTCTGACAATATAATACCCTTGGATAAAAAGTTAATTTTACATGAAGTAAAGCCACTGCACTGTTTAGGTCCAAAGCTTGCTCAGATGTTGGTGTATATATATATGTGTGTATATATATATAATTTTTTTTTATGTCTGTTGAGTCGTGGACTGACCAGTAGCTCTTGATGTGTATGGTCCTTTGCTGCTGAAAATACTGTTAGATAGTTGGTAAAATGGTCTTTGACAACACATTTAAAAACAAAAAAAAAACATACATATACCACATGAATAGTATTACAGAAATATTTTGAGGTTTTATAACAGTGACGTTTCCAAACCGCAGAAAACTTTGAAACTGGTTATCATCCCATGCCTAGTGGAGAATGCAGGAAATAACTGTAAGACATTCTGTCAGGGTGTCCGCGAGGTCTTAAAGTCTTTAAGTGTCTTAAATTTCAAAAACTAAATTAAAAAAGTCTTACATACACTGAAATATTGGGTTGAAAGTCTTCAATAATTTTAAATTTCCTATGTTCAGGGAAAGCTACCCTATTGGGCCAACACATAATCACCAATAATCTGTCTCAGAACTTTTATTTATATATATATTTTTTTATTGCAAAGAGATACAATTAACAGTAGTTGTTAGACATTTTACAGCAAATTCTACAAATTAAATTCCCTAATCAGGGAAAGAAAACTAAAGCAACACATGATCTTTCATTAATACAAAAACTATTTACAGAAGAAAATACAGAAAAAACTCATTAGAAAGAATCCTTGATGTTTAGCTTTGCATAAGTCTAAAATGTCTTTCACAATGGTCTTAAAAGTGTCTTAAAGTTTTAAGTTTGACTTGAAGAAACCTGCAGAAAGCCTGCCTGTGGTTAATGCCAGGTAAATGGCTGCTAAAAATTAATATTAATCATAGTAATAATAATTCATTTACTTGGTTCAAATACAGTAGTTTTAACTATGGTAGTTTGGGCATGGTTACAGAATTGTTGTTGTTTCACTTAATGATGACTTGGCCAAATAACCATGGTAATGCAATAGAATGATATATTAATAATATTAATAACAAAGTTTATTTAGACATGAACAAAAAATGTATAATGATAAATTATAATAAAGATGATTATTATGATTATTATTGTTAATCAAATTACCTTACTTGCTATTATTATTATTATTATTTATTTCTACTACTGTGCTTATTCGGAAATAGAATCTATCAGTAATACAGTTTACAATGTGATATTAATATAAATTCATATTTAAATCATTATTATTTATTACCATGTTTACTAGGACTATATTAACTTGATTCTACTACTGCTTAAACAAATATTTTAATCCTCATGTATTTTTGCTATGGTTATTTTCTTAATAATAATTATTATTAATAATTACTAATAATATAATTAAAATGAATTGCTTCAGTCAAATTACCATTGTTAATTATTTTAATTATTATTATTAATAATAATAGTATTTTTTACTGCTTAAAATAACATGTAATGTTCATGTATTGTTATTATGGTTATTATAACAGTTATTATTACTATTAATTCATTCATAAAGATAATAATAATAATGTTTTGCTTTGTCTTGTAATAATACTGTTGTACACCTTGAACTATGAAAATACCATAGCATCTGAATATGGTGTATATGACAGTTAATATTAAATATTGAACAATAAAAAGATACTTTCAGAAAAAATGGGAGACAAGAAAACGTCTTGAAAGTCTGAAAATCGCAGAAAGTCTGATGTGTGTCAGGTAAAAAGGGATAGTTCACCTTAAAATGAGTTTGAGTTTCTTACTTCTGTCAAACACATAAGAAGATATTTTGAAGAATGTTGGAAACCTGCAACCATTGACTTCCGTAGTATTTGATTTTCTCCAAAGAATTTTCTTTTGTGTTTAACAGAAGAAACTCGAACTGATTTTTTGGTGAACTATCCCTTTAACCTAACAATCTTTATACTGTTTTCATGTCTCCCATTACTGTTTTTGAACAAAGGAAGACTGATTAAATAATGACAAAATAGGTGAACTATCCCTTTAATAACTAAAACTGTTACATTGATAATCTAGATATCGGTTTTCCTCAAATATCCCTCAAAGTGGTTGACGGAATCTCTCCTTGCTAAAGAACTTAATCTCCATAATTAATGCAGGCATGTGACTTCACAATAACTCTTCAAGCGTTGTCAAGTTCACCCAAGGAAAGTGTCGCAAGGTGGCTGTTATTGAGGTGTGAGTCGCTGAAGCATTTAACCTGAGGTTTGATTAATTGTTGTTTTGGATGGACCTCACATCCTGGTGTTTCTTTTCACTGAGGGAGCCTGTAACTGTGGCGACGGGGCAAAGGTGTTAAAAAAACAGACTGATGAAACCTCTGCGACTGTAACCGACCTTTGTCTTTGTTTAATGCTGCTTTTATAGAGCTTTATTTGTGTGTGTGTGTGTGTGTGTGTGTGCACGTGCAGGAGGACCAGGAGAAAATGGAGGTGAGGGAGAAGATGGAGCAGCAGCAGAGCAAACAGAAGAAACTCTTCGAAGGCCTCAAGTTTTTCCTAAACAGAGAAGTTCCCAGGGAATCGTTGGCGTTCGTGATCAGGTGAAGGAGTGTGACGTACAAGCTCGTTTTAATTACATGTCATTTCATTTTAATAACACTTTCCTTAAATAGGGTGCGAACAGGTGCTCTGTTTTTGCTTAGTTTTTTTTTTAAGACATTGAAGGCCAAATTACATGTACTTTAGAAGCCGATAGTTTTGTGTCAAATATTAATTTAACGTGAAATGTATTGATTTGTCACTAAAATAAATCATTTATTTTAGCTAAACAATTAACACTATTCTACACCATTAGCCCTTATTTTTCTTTAATAAAAATTAACATCATTCTCTAATACTGTGATGTGCAGAAAGTAATACAATTTCATTTATTAACATTTTATTAACAAAATAAAAAAATATACATACAAGTAAGTGTTACTGATATAACTGATATATTTGTATACATTTTTAAATATAAACACAATTGTATTCAAAAACGTATATATAGATGCAAATGTTTTGCAACATGACAATTTACGATTTGTTTGCAGGAAATAAATTCACATGCTGTTTGCCAGCTCAAAACACGTTGTAAAAATAATGCAACATCACCAATGACTCATTTTAGTGCAAAACAAATGCACTCTCAACACATTTATTTCATTAATAATGCATCATTAGCATTATTACAGGGCTAATTTTACTGCTAAATAAATGCAGTCAACACTTTGATCACTGCATGTTCTAGTAAGAATGTAACAATAACATTTTAGTGCAGAAATAATGCATACGACATCAGAACACAGATTCATGTGATGTTATTCATAAAATAATGCACGAAAGACAAAGGCTGTAACGTTACACTGTCAAATATTACACTGTCAGAGTCCTGCTTAGACACATGTTTTACCAATTTGTGGTGGATGTTTGAAAGCTGCTAAAAATCCTGCTCAAGACGGTCGTTTTTTACGGTTCCTGCTCATCCTGGTCATCAGTAGTCTTCTCGTTGCACATCTACACTGCGTTCACCGGAGATGATGTTTACACACACTATGAAGTGAAGTCACACCTTCCTGGCTTAGCACTTCTCAGTTTCATTCATTCATTTGTTCATTCACAAAATATGTCCGCGTCTACTTCCCAGAGGACAACAGCCAATTACATTAGTTTTCCAGGGTTGCGTAAACGTGATTAGGTAGCATATGCTCAAGGGTATTTGCATGGAGTAATCTAGCTGGCATCTGTTTGACCATTTAAAGTTCACTCATATTTCACGTGAATCTTTGACGCTGACATAAGAAAGATACCATTTTAAGAATTAATTTAAATAATCCGAGGGCAGTTTCATCCAGTTAGCCACCTGTGTGTAAAGCTGACATGTCGTTCAGGTCCAAAACCGCATGATCAGCAGAGCGTGATTAGTCGACATCAATCAAAAAGCATCACGGCAGAGCATTAAAGTCGATTAGTTGACTAGTTGGTGCAACCCCTTGTGTGTGTGTGTGTGTGTGTGTGTGTGTGTGTGTGTGTGTGTGTGTGTGTGTGTGTGTGTGTGTGTGTGTGTGTGTGTGTGTGTGTGTGTGTGTGTGTGTGTGTGTGTGTGTGTGTGTGTGTGTGTGTGTATGTATTCTGTTACATGGTTGCTTTTAAATTAAATAAATGAATAAAATCGAATTTAATAAAACTAAACTTTATAATAACAATAGGGATACAACGATTACAGATTTTGGTTGTATGATTGCAGTCTGAGGAATAATCACGGTTATCACGATTATTATACATTCATTCATTTTAAACACTACTAGTTTAGAAAATCACATGAAAACTCCTTGTGTTTTAAAGTGTTATTTATTGCTACTCAGTAACCAACAAATGCAGCACAACATAATAATAAAAACAAACAAACAATAGTTAATTTTACTTTGGACTTAAAAAGAAGTTTTTAGCGTTTAAACAGAAGTAATAATTTTACACTGAAAATCAATGACAGAACAATAATAAATTAATGAATATAAATAAGAATACATTTTAAAAAGTTGTTTTTTTCTAATGTCTAATAAATATAAACCACTTATTAGCTAAGCATTTCCCTTTTAAAGAGATCCAATGTAGGCAAAGGCTGCTGAACCACTGTCTGAAAGGCACTTTTGATCAACTATATTTTAATATTATATATATTTTTCTCTTTGGAGTAGGAATGTATAGTATATTCCATACAGAGTATGAAGCTGACCGTTTAGTTCTTGTCATGTGACTCGCAGTGCTTTCTTTCAACTAGGTGCACCTGGAAAGCATGAGCACGTTGCACTGCCTGTACCTCCACAGTAAATAACAAACTTGCGTGCACAAAAGACAAGATATGTGAACAGCCTTATGGTTTTAGCTTCTGCCATAGGTAAAGTCAGCCTTTAATCCAGTGTGTACATGTGTATTGTGTACAAGCTCAGAACTTTAAACTAGCACAAAGTAAGCATAACTTTTAGGTGCAGCAGTTTCCCTGCAGAAACACGGTGTTGAGAAGGCTTTACGATTAATTAACTGTAACGAATTAAAGCGCAGTTAATAGTGAAATTGGTTAATCGTTGCATCCGTAATCAACAAAAAAGTCAGTGTTAGTTTAATATCAATAATATAAGATTATATTTTTGGTCAGTTTTATTTTTTTTTAATGTTTTTAATTGGGTTAATGTTTTAGCATTTTTGTTGAATGTTTCTGTTATTTTTTATGTCAGTATACTGTTTATTTAGTTTTAGCTGTTTTACAAGAAAAAGTTCTGGCAATTATTAGAAACGGATTTTAATATACATTTTGTTTTAGTTGATTTTAATCCCAAAAAATTTAAAGAAATGTAAAAAAAAAAAAACATTATGAACCTGCACTTTTGTCAGTTAATATAAACATGTCATATGTTGTACAGGTGTTTTGGTGGAGAGGTGTCTTGGGATAAATCCCTGTGCATCGGCAGCACGTATGAAGCCACAGACGAAACAATCACGCATCACATCGTGGACAGACCCAGCATGGACAAACAGTATATCAACAGGTCTGAAACCAACTCTCTGATCATATACAGTAGCTGTGTTACTGTAGTTTCTGTGTTTACTGTAGTCAGTTTATGCTTGAGTTTTATTTGTATAGCGCTTTTCTGTAATTATAATTTCAAAGCTTTGCAAAAGGTACATATTTTTGCATTACAATCAAATTTGTAAAGGTTAAGATTATTAGTTACCATAAAGTTATTTGTTACTAATAACATTAATTAACTAGTAACCAACAGTTTTTAACAGTTAAAGTTAGTATATATAAACAGTTAACCTGTAGTTCTAAAGTTAATAGATTATGTCTTTGTGTATGTGTTCAATGAAGTGTTTTATGTTTGTGTATTAAGTGTATATTCTTGTGCTTTATGAATTTTTTCAATGGTGCAGATACTACATTCAGCCCCAGTGGGTGTATGACTCTGTCAATGCTAAGATACAGTTACCTGTGGAGGAGTATTTTCTGGGAGTCACACTGCCGCCTCATCTGTCACCGTTTGTGGAGGAGACTGAAGGAGATTATGTGCCGCCAGAGAAACTCAAGCTCATGGCCCTGCAGAGAGGAGAGAAACCACGTGAGGGTTTTACTTACTGCTGTGTAGAGATGCACTGATTTTCTTTGCTAATTACTATTTTTTTTAATTTTTATTATTAATATTTTTTGGCAGGGCTGTGACCTGTCTATATGTACGTATGGTCATTTTACAGCTCCGTTGGGTTAAGTTTTACCATTTTTGAATCCATCAAGTCTATCTCCGGGTCTGGCGGGAGTACTTTTAGCTTAGCATAAATCATTGAATTGGATTAGACCATTAGCATCTGACTATTAAAAGTAAAATTAATTCCTTTTCAGATTTTTTTGTGATGATTGTAGTTGCAAACTGCTAATATAGTATCACTTTCACACACTAGCTATGTTTCCATCCAAAAATGTGAAGTAGATTTATGTGCATCACTGAAATATTAAATAAAACATTTGTGAATAAAGCAGCACTTCCATTCTAAGGCAAAAACAACAATCACTTCCTGATACCTGCCGCTAAAGTAATGTTATAATACTGAACCACCTTGACGACAGACTTTGGCTGAGGGATTTTACAATGACCAAAGCAAAAAATAAATAAATCTGTTAAAACAATCACATAACTTTTTTTTTTTTGATGCACATGCTGGATTTTATTCTGTAAATGTTGTTCCATCATAGTTTTGTATTATATGATGAAAGGTTTAACCCAGGGGTGCCCAAACCTTTTACTATAAAAGGTCAAAAAGCAATCTTTATTAAAGGCTGTGAGCTGAATATATACCAAACCATATACATTACATTTGCAATGGGTAATTTCCTAATTTATTTAGTAATATTAAAAAATAGAAAACATCGAAAACTAGAAAACATTGCTTTAAATCATATTGACTAATGCAGTATAATTTGTAACATTTTATAATAAACTTAATACAGTAAAATCCCATCCATAAGTCCTATGCTAAAAACACTAGTCAAGATTACTTTGATTTGCTCACAGATTTCTTGTGCAGTATTTATTAGTATGAAATACAGTATTTATTAGTATTTACAATATTTACATTTTAAAAGTCGGATGCATATACAATATTTAATTGAATCATTTATTTTCAGTTAGCTTTTTTGTAGCTCAGTAATAAAACAAAGAAGCAAAAGGTTTTGACGATCACTGTCAAAGGCATTCGCCCCAACCCCTCTCCATCATTCTCCCTCTCTTTTTAGACGGGATGGCGGGCCAAATCGAAGATTACATAGGGCCAACTTTAGCCCACTGATCATAGTTTGGGCTTCTCTGGTTTAATCTATTCAGTTGTGCTCACATTTTTTATTGCACATTTTCAAAATTATGTGCATGTTTGTGTTTCTATTAAGCAATTTTAGGAAATATTTCAAAATGCACAAATTATAGGTGGATGGCAACTACAGAAAAAGTTTGACGGCACTGTGATGTCACAATCTGCACTGTGGCTAACAATAGATCAGTTGATATCAGCTTTAAGATTGGCTGGTTACTGGTTTGATCAATCAAGCAAGGACACTGATTCTAGTCCCTGGCCAGTCGATCGTGCATCTTTACTGTTTTGATTTGTGAGTGTCGAACGATTGTTAACTTTACCATCAATCTCTTAACAGAAGCAGAAGAAGACGAGGAAGAGGAGGGAGAAGAAGAAGAGGATGATGAAGAAGATGAAGAGGACGATGAGCAGAGTGAGGATGAAGAGGAAGCAGAAGAAGAAGCAAATCTAGCTGAAATGGAGGAGAAGAGATCTCAGGGAAAGGTTAGTAAAAACTGTAAAAAAATATGGACGTAGTATCGATTACGTCACCCATAGGTTTTTGAAGCGCGCAAATGAAGCTATAAGTTGGCATGGCCAACCAGTGCTATGTTATTTGCATGTCATCGCACTAACCAAAAAATAGCAAAGAGGCGGAGCTGCAAATATGTCTAGACCTTTGCTCAGATAGGGTTTTTTTTGGAAGAAACGCTTAGGACTTTATTACCTGCGATTCGTTTGTGTTCTGACCACATGCTTGGCTGTATACTATATCAATAAAGTGTTTAGTCTTTTAAAAACACTGTTGTATTACATTGAGCCACTAAGTATTGTTCTTATGATGTTTTTCTACAGGAGGAAAATGCTAATTACTTACAAATACGTCAAATATAGTCTGTGTTAGTAAATCCAAGGATATTTATGAAATCCAGGCAGAACACTGTTTGACAATGTTTCAGATGACTGTTCTACAGCATACAGCTAATCAATCTGTCAGGTTCAAGAGTGCTTTACAATTCTAAAGAAAATTATGAATGATAAATAAATCTTAAATAAAATAAATACATTTATAGATATGAAATACAAGTAAACAATTTCACTAAACTGGGAAATGGAGGCTACTTGAATAGCATTTGACTTTGTAAAGCCACATAAAAAAAACAAGTTCAGCAGCTAATCAGCCGGAATCAGCTGAGGTGAAGTGAGTGCGACCAGCGATACCTAGCTGTCACTCAATTGGCCACACCCTTAATTATGCAGACTTAATATAACGCAAAATAAAATTTAAAAAAAGGATGAGTTAAAAAAAAATTCACCCCTTTACAGTTGTCATGAACAGTAATATTATTAGCTATATACACCAAAATCGTTTTTTGTACCAGGCTTTAAACTTTTACTTTTTTTTTTTTTGCTGTAAAGTTGGCCATTCTAACATTGGGCTCAATAGAAATTAGCTCTTTTGGAGCCAGGCCTAGTGAATTTTTGATGAATAGCAGTTTCAGTTACTTACGTATTTACTTGAGGAGGGAGAGCGGGAGATTGCCCCTTGGTTTTGGATGCTCTTGATTTTGCATGTAGAATATTTTTGCAGTTCTGCTTGTTGACTTCAGTATTACAGAAATTGCACACAGTAAAATATTTAAGGCTGTTGCATCACATCTGTTAAAAGTGAATGCTTATTTATTCGCCTTCAGGCCATCCAAGAGGTGACTTATTCTTAAGTAGATCAATTAAAGAAGATTTATATCTCCATGGTCATTTGCAAAATGTAAATTAGCAGTTACCAGCACTTGTATACCTTTACACATAAAGATGGCAGAAACAGCCAAAACAGGGTTTTAACAGTGATGCCAAAATAGAACCATATCCAGTTGCTAACAAAACTGTAGTTTGAAAATCAATTACTTAATCTAAAGCCTTTTTCATTGTCCAGTACCTGTTTGTGGAATCAGAAAGTTCCTGGAGATTAAAGGATTAAAGGTTATTTGTGGAACCATCAACGTTAATGGATTATATGCACAGCTAGTGTTTTTCAGCCAATGATAAACTTCTGGTGAAGGCTTAATGTGACTTTTTATTTTATTTCATATGGTTCCTTTTACAGCATCAATGTTGTAATGTGATTACAACACTCAGTTAAATAAACTTAAGCATTCATTTAGTTGCTCAAGCAAAAAACAAGATGCAAGACTGTGTAACCGATAGCGCCGTTAGGATCAGCAGGGGAGAGCAGAAACACAGTTGAAAGAACTGGGATAAAATAAATGTTCATATCTTAAAGACATTGCGGGGGAAATGGAATTTTATGCAGTGCTTCTTTTCCGGTCTGAGACCCACTTTGTATTGTATATCTATCACGTAGTGAAGATCACTGATTTTTGAAGAAAACAAACCTTAAACGTGACAATTTTATTATGCAAGGACAGTTCACCGGAAGTGCACAGGCTGGCTGGCTGAAATTAAAAGTCTGTGTGTATAAACTCCATTAAGAACCTTTAAGTGTGTAGAGTAAAACATGTCAAATCTGAATTAATTGCCTTTCATTTTCTTAAAAATCATTTTGTGAATATATAGTGTAAAGAATTATTTTTATAAATCTTTAAAAATGTACCTTTTTTAAAGCTGCTTTTCACAATAATCATTGTGAAAAGCGCTATTCAAATGAACTTGAATTATTTAAAACAATAAGTATGAACACATGTAAAATGAGTACTGTTCAGATTAAATATGTATTTTTGTTTATACATTTACGCTGAATGATGGACTAAACCTTAATTCACCCTTATTTTTTTACACAAAATTTCATAATTTGATTTTTAAAAATTCCTAATTCGTTGTGGTTGTCCCTCAGAGCCTCTCTGTAAAGGTGACTCCTGGTAAAGCCAAAGCTGAGAACCGTGCGAGAGCAGCAGAGGAGGAGAAAGCAGAGGAGAAGAGACTGGCCATTATGATGATGAAGAAGAAAGAGAAATATCTCTATGACAAGATCATGTTCGGCAAGAAGAGAAAAGTCAGAGAGGTAAGACTGATTAGAAATAGATGCATCAGCTATGTTATACACATCACATTTTATAAAACAATACTAGAGGTGTGGAATATTGACAAACAAAATGTATCTTGAACTATTTTGGAGTTTATTTGTAATGATTAGTTTTATGCTGGTAACTTGGCAGATGTAGGCCCTTCCTGGATAAATAAAGGGTCTGTTTTAATGAGTGATTCTTTGAGATATTCATTCAATTGGTTTACTCATAAAATCTTGGATAATGGAATGATTATAATTTCCTAATGTCAGCACATGAGCTCCATCACAAATGTGGTTATTGATATTAAGTAGAGCATTTGTGTCTCATAGCAACATTGTGATGTTCTGTCTCTGAACAAAATGTGTGAGTCATTGATTTAGTGGTTTATTCGTACAGCTAGTTAGTTACTTTGTTTGTAAATCAATTGGGTGTTTTGAACAAATCATTTAAATCAGTAATTTGATTAATCACTCAATAAGGCCAGAACTTGCTGCCACCTTTTGGCAGATTTAATGTCATTTATCCATGAAGGGCCTAAAGGCTGGGACACACAATACGTCAGTTAATGTCAATGTTTATTTTGTTTTTGGCTCCTCCTACACGTTGCTCCTCGTGAGCTCATGTTGGAGGAAGATTACCTGTATGCAGAATCAGATTCAGCTTTCAGTGAAAGAGAGCGCTCTGATTGGCTGTTCATCTATAAGTCGCAATGCGAGAACAAAAACTGAATTGACAAAACTAAATGACGCAAGTCAAGAGGGATCAAATATAAGCTAGCTGTCAATTTGTTGCACTTTTTAAATATCTGCAAACCATATGGATCATAAAAAATATCTGCATAAGTAAATCGCTCTGTGGTGAGTGAGAAGTACTGTGAAAATTAGGAATGCAGGGTATTGAGCCAAAAGAGAAAAACGCATAAAAAATTAGCCGACAAATGGCTATGCTGTGCCACACTGCCCAGCAGTGTTCAGTACGCTGGATTCATTCTCCCTTCAACCATAATCAGTCACTGGGCAGTTTGGTAGCTTTTACACTGCACACAGAAAGCACTGCATTATGAAATGCATTCATTTTATTGCGCCTTGCATAGGCCAGTTTGATCAAAACGCAAGAGCAGGACACTGTCAACAATAGCATTGTTTCCATCCAAAGACGCAAACTAAATTTATGCACAAAACTGGAATATCACATAAAACATTTGCACATGAAGCAGCGTTTCCATTCAACAAGAGAACAAAATCTTCACTTCCTGATAAACTGCAGTTAAATATCAAAAGAAAAATGAAAGTTGCTGTGTTAGGAGACCTTTTTTCGTATGTAATAACTTACTTCCATCTTAGAACACATACACAGCACAGTGTGCACAGTCATGTCATCTTTCTTTTAGAATCATCTCCGCTCATACCTAGAAGATTTGCATGTTCTGCTGATGCTTTCCGTTAAGGATGGAAAACTATAAAAATATTCAGACCTCAACGTACCTGTCACTTTCATCATTTTTTATTATCACATGATCTGTTGAAACAAAATCACATGACTTTTTTTTAATGCACAGGCTGGAATTTATTCGATAAATGCATTTCCATTGTAATTTATGCACATTTTTGCTTATTGGGTAAAAATTTGTGCTCGTTGTATTTTTATCCACATTTTCAAAATTTATGCTCCTCTTTCCAATTCAATCCAGGGTATTTGTATGCGATATTTCAAAATGCCCATATAAATATGTGGATTGTAACACAGTTACTCCTGCATGTGATCAAAGTTCACAATAGCTCAATATTTTGCTGTGGATATCTCTCTTATGTACACACATACTTCTCTATGAGCCACACATGCTCACAGGAAAAACTAACTCTGACATTTCTTTGTAGTAATTATTCCTGCTGCTTGCAAAAGTGCTACTAAGCAGTCATGGCAACACATCAAACTATGCCTCTTGACTCCTGATTCATCATCATAAACATGTATCCGTGTTAAATCAGTGTAATAGAAAGAGAAATTTTAGTTGTGTTCTATAATTTTCATATCGGAGCATCACCTAGTTAAACTGGTCCATGAACTCTGCTTTGTTTACGGTTTGTATGTATGCAGCACTAGTTCTGGTTTCCCTTTGGGAAATGACAAGACGGATACTGCCACCTGCAGGTGTAGAGCGGTACATCCTCTTACAGAACCTCAAAATATACATTAGACCAAGGGTGCGCATAGTTGCTTAGTTTAGTTCCAGCTTCCTTTAACACACCTACTTGAAGGTTTCTAGTATACTTAGAGCTTGCTTTGCTGGTTCAGGTGTGTGTAATTGGGGTTGGAACTAAGCTTTACAGGACACTGGCCCTCAAGGACTGAGTTTGGGGACCCCTGCATTAGACATTCATCATACATAAGACATCAACATTTGAAGTGCATCAAAAAATTTCCTTAAAGTTGTCCTAAAACTAATGAACCACACCCATTCTTGTCTGAGGACAATTTTGAAACGCGTTAATGATCCACTTCATATGTTGACTACAGTATATTCTTGTTTCAGCTGGCAGTCGTCTGTTTGTGTGTTGTTTTTGTTTTGTTTTTTGTCGATGCAACTCACAAAAGCGAACAACACAGTCTGTTTTAATCACTGCTAGTTCTTTTGACGTCAGCTTGGTGTGTCCCAGGTGTAAACTAGCACAAAATATTAATTAAATATGGCTAATGGCATTAAGATGGCAATATTGCTCACCACTTGTTGCAAAGTGAGTGCTTTGGTTAATGGGTAAATGATGCGGTGCTAATGTACAACCAGCACAGTGACTGCCAAAGCACTTTAAAAGGTGCTTGACCTACATTTGGCTCATTATTTAAGCTCCAGTGACCTTCATAGTCTTCATTGTTCATGAATCTACTGAACACCTTCCAACAGGCTAACAAACTGGCTGCCAAGAGGAAAGCTCACGATGACGCCAGCAAAGCAGACAAGAAGAAGAAGAAGAAGAAGTGCTGAAGAACTTATTTTTATATGTAATAAATGTGCTTTTTCTCACTGTCAAGAGACTTTGAGGAGTGTTTCTTCTCATTTCAGCTCACTGCATCATTTAAAAGGACAGTTCACAAAAAAAAATCACATTTCCTCATTTACTTGAACTACTGGTTCTAACATTTTATGAGTTTCATTCCTCTGTTGAACACAAAAGAAGATATTCTGAAGAATGTTGGAAAAAAGCAGCCATTGACATCTATAGGAACATACAATACTGTGGAAGTCAATGGCTGCTGCTTTGCTAACATTCTTCACATTATCTTCTTTTGTGTTCAACAGAAGGAAGAAACTGAACAGGTGAAAGGTGAGTGAATGATGAAAGAATTTATTTTTGAGTGACTGTCTGTTTAATGGAGATTATCGATGATTCACTGAACTGAATCGATTTAGTTTTGCTAAACTGGTTTTCAGTGGATTTCATGCTGTATTTCTTGCCTGTTATCGTGTCTGTCTTATCGTTGACACATTTCTAATAAGCAAAAGATGATTATTGTTAATGGGTTTGAGTTGCTTTTATTGTAAAAGTTTTGCAATTGCATTTAGAGTCAACTTGATTAAGCTCAAGCACTGCAAATATTTGTTAACAGAACTACTGGAGCAAGATACTATTCTGCTTTTTAAAATCCTTTAATAAGAAGGTCATAAATTATCAAATGTTATCTACTATATTGAACTACTAATAAAGCCATTGCTATCATGGCTTCTATAAAAAAAATTAAGCAGTGTGCTTGTTTACAACATTAATAATGATAAAGCCCTATTCAGACGCCAGTTGTTTCTCATGGAAATGTCTGTAAGAGAAAATCTCCATAACTCCTCAATCATTAAATACAGCGGGGGAAATAAGTATTGAACACATCACCATTTTTCTCAGAAAACATATTTTTAAAGGTGCTGTTGACTTGAAATAACGACCGAAGAAATCCATAGATGCGAAAAAACAAAACTTTAGTTTACAAATGAAGTTATGTGTAATAGAATGCAACGACACAGGGAAACACATGAAGAACGGGAGGAGTAGAAAGGCAGTGAAATCCCTCAGTAATCTCTCAGTAGTTCTTCAGCAACCCTCTGCCCTTCGTCATTGTAATTGAATATTAGCTGCTTCAGTCAAATCAAATCACTTTTATTGTCACGTCATCGGCAGCATGTGTGGTATGATGAGTGAAAAGCTTAGGTGCTGGCTCCAGACAGTGCAAATACAATAACAGTGCGAAATACTGACAAGTGCAAATACAACAACAATGCAAAATACAGACAGTGCAAATATAATGACCGTGCAAAATACTGACAGTGCAAATACAACGACAATGCAAAATACAGACAGTGCAAAATACAACAGCATACTCCCAAAAAACAGGACAATGTAAAATTGACATCTTCAGTCCAACATCTTCATTATTAGGGTGATGAAGATGAAATCAGGGTGGACATTTCAGCAAGATAATGATCCAAAACAAAGCCAAGGAAACTCTAATGCTTTCAGAGAAATCAAGCTGTAGAATGGCCCAGCCAATCACCTCACATGAATCCAATAGAAAATACAAGTTAAAGCTAAAATTTTATAGACTAGACTCATAGAACCATCAAGTTTTTTACACTCTGCTGAAGTCTTGAAAAAACTCACACCTGAGTAATGCAAATTTTTTTTTTCAGATTATTTTGTTTTTTGTTTTGTGCTGTTTGGGTTTTTACCAAAGTCTGGTTTAATTCCTTGTCAGCATCTCCTTTAAAATAATTATTCCCTGGAAAATCATGATGTGTTCAATACCTATTTTCCCTGTAATTATTAATCTTACGAACCTGGAAATGCGTGTCTCATTCCCTGGGAAATAATTACCATCCAAATAGGGCTTTATATTGATTTCTGAAAGGATCATGTGACACTGAAAACTGTAATGAAGCATTGCCCATATGGGTAATTTGGGTATTATAATAAATACTGTACAGATTACTTGTTTTTGTCACTTTTACATAATTATTACCAATAATCTTTGCCCAGTACTAATTAACGGTTATGTAAAATGTCAAATAGATTATAATAGAAACATTTTTTTTTTTTTTTTTTGCTAGTTTTTACTGTATGAAGTAAACGGAGCCTTTCTGAACAAAGGAAAAGATCAAATGGCATGTTTTGATATTGAGATGTACCTTTAAGGATGCTTTGTTCTGTTATCAGATTGTTCAAATTTGCGTATACTTGATATGTGGTGTGTCAAAACGTGAATAGCCTGACACTTTTTATATCACTGAAAGAAAGACCCTTTTTCCGGTTTTATCTATTCGTTTCTGTTGTAAATGGGACTTAATACCCAAGGGCTCTCTGGTGTATTATGTACTGTTGATTCATAATACAAAAACATTCATTGACACTCCCTTTCCTGAGGACCTTAATGTAGGACATCTCAAGGCTTTGTAGATTAATTTCTGCTTAAAGCACTTCTGGTGTCTTGTCTTATACACTCACCGGCCACTTTATTAGGTACTCCTTACTAGTACCGTGTTGGACCCCTTTTTGCCTTCAGGACTGCCTTAATCCTTCGTGGCATAGATTTAACAAGGTACAAGGTATTTCCTCAGAGATTTTGCTCCATATTGACATGATAGCATCACACAGTTGCTGCACATCAATGATGCGAATCTCCTGTTCCACCACATCCCAAAAGTGCTTCATTGGATTGAGATCTGGTGACTGTGCAGGACATTTGAGTACAGCGAACTCATTTTCATGTTCAAGACACCAGTCTGTGATAATTCACGCTTTATAACATGGCGTGTTATCCTGTTGGAAGTAGCCATCAGAAGATGAGTACACTGTGGTCATAAAGGGATGGACATAGTCAGCAACAATACTCGGGTTGGCTGTAGCGTTGACACGATGCTCAATTGGTATCATTGGGATCAAAGTGTGCCTAGAAAATATACCCCACACCATTACACCAGCAGCCTGAACCGTTAATAAATGGCAGGATGGATTCATGCTTTTATGTTGATGCCAAAGTCTGACCCTACCGTTCGAATGTCACTGCAGAAATGGAGACTCATCCGACCAGGCAACATTTTTCCAGCCATGCCATGTTCAAAGTCACTTAAATCCCCTTTATTCCCCATTCTGATGCTCGGTTTGATCTGCAGCAGATCGTCTTGACCATGTCTACATGCATAAATGAATTTAGTTGCTGCCGTGTGATTGGCTGATTAGAAATTTGAGTTAATGAGCAGTTGGACTGGTGTACCTATTTAAGTGGCCGGTGAATGTGAATACCACGATGTTAATAGGCTGATGACATGAGGTGTGAACTTTGCCTCATGGATTTTGTTGATTTTATAGTCTTTGTATGGTTAAAACATCTTGCAAGTTATAGCTTCCATAGCTCATTATAAACCAAACATTTATGCAAGCACTGAAAACAGTTCATTTGGATTTAAAGTGGCATGTGATGTAACAAGGCCGTGTTTGCATAAACTCCTCCTCCAGTATCTGCACAAGTGCCTCCTTCACCATGACACCAAAGGCCCCGCCCACTGACATTCAGTCACTTAAAGATACTTGCCTATTGTGGGTTTTAGTGTTTTTTCAAACATAAGTCAACCTATTCTAATGCTGTGTTTACACCAGACGCGGCAATAGATATGAATTCGAGGCACTTCTGTTTGCCTGGTGACTCTAGCTTCGTTGCTAAATGGCTAACATGGATTTTATTGAAAGAAAAGCTTTGTTTATGTGCTTTAGGAAGGCTGAAAAACAGCGTAGATACGTTCAGCATTAAGTCCACTAGATCCTTTCAGAGGTGCACCCATCTCTGAAAGTTGATTAACTCCTCCAGAAAATATACCTGGATGATGGAAGCTTTCAGCGGTGCCTCAGACTGAGCCAAGCCCAGTTTGATGATCTGCTGTCTTGTGTTGACAGGAGGATTCTCTGCTCAAGACACCAACAACAGGCGCTATGTCACAATCACGCCCCTTCAAGAGCAAGCTCCTGATTGGTTAACGCTTCATGAAGTTTAGATTTTCCAACTCGAGCTATCTGTGTCAAGAGCACAACATGCTCAACACGCGCCACTTCCTTATTTGCATGAATAGTGCCGCAGGATGTTTATTTGCGTCTTTGCATTGACTTAACATGTAAATCACTCGCACTTAACATTTCATCCCCGTCTGGTGTAAATGCAGTATAATAATGCTTTTGATGGCAGGTTGTTTTATAAATGAGGTATGGTATAAATGCAGAGATCACCAAAAATATTTATAAGATGAAGCAGCTCTATTGCATATTGGTGCAATGGGAAGGGAGCGTTGATGCTATTAGCCAATTACAACAATGACCATTTGCTTAAAGGTTTTTTAATAAGAAGGTCATAAATTATCAAATGTCATCTACTATATTGTACTACTAATCAAACAGTCGCTATCATGGTTTCCACAAAAACATTGAGCAGTGAACCTGTTTTCAACATAACTAATAATAAAGCCCTAATCAGACGCCAATTAGTCTAAGTTTGACCAGCCGGTTAATTAGCCAGAAGTTAATAATTCTATATTTTCAGATTTCATTTAGGGAGGACTTGTAAAACTACGGCCAGTAATGGGAATAAAAGGACTTTCTTTTAAGACCGATCAAAGTGGTGCATGCAGCTATAGCCCCTGTTTGGTTCCTATGCAGATTGTTGTTAAAGTCCTTGAAAGTCCCTCTGAGAGTTGAGCTTTTTCCACTGGCGTGCTAACCATTAAACTGTGTAACCTTGTGGGAAAGTGAGGTGTGGAGAATGTCACTCTATTAGCATTCCTTTGTTTCTCATAGGTCTTCATAAAAACTGCTGCTTTGAGATATTATAGAAGTACAACCCCAAATCACAAAAGGTTGTGACAGTATGGAAACGCAAATAAAAAAGAAATGAGTGATTTCCAAATTTACTTTGACTTGTATTTCATTGCAGACAATGTGAACACAAAGTAGATCAATGTTTTGTCTGGTCAACTTCATTTCATTTGTAAATATACATCCTTTCCTGTCATTCAGACCTGCAACACACTAATAAAAAAAAGTTGGGATTGGAGCAGTTTAGGGCTAGTGATTTTTATTTGAAACAGGCGATGTTAACAGGTTGTGATTTGGTACAAAAGCAACATCCAAGAAGTCCTAGTCCTTTAGGAGCAAAGATGGGCTGAGGATTGCCAGTTTGCCAGCAAATACGTGAGAAAGTTATTGAAAGTTTTAAAAACAATGTTCTTCAAAGAAAAATAGGAAATGAAATGAAATGGACACTGTGTGCTATAGACCAGAGAAGATTAGGATCATCTAGACCAGGGGTGCTCAAACCTGGAGATCTACCTTCCTGCAGATTTCAGTTGCTACCCATATCAAACACACCTGCCTGTAATTATCAAGTGGTGTTCAGGTCCTAATTAATTGGTTCAGGTGTGTTTGATATGGCAACTGAAATCTGCAGGAGGGTAGATCTCCAGGAACAGGATTGAGCAGCCCTGATCTAGACCGT